AAGTGGTCAAGACCATAATGGGTACACCCACTGCAACAGTTTGCCTGGGCTAATGGGACCTCAACAACTCTAGTCAGACAAGGAAGGCACCAGAATAGGACAAACTAGACCCTCTGAATGTGGGTCACAGTTGTAAGGCTGGGGAAGACTGAGGGGTCACTGGCAGTGGCACCAGGATTTATCTCTACTGCTTGTACTGGTTATTTGGGAATCCATTCTCTTTGGATGGATACCTTGCTCAGCTTATATATAATAGGGAAGGCCTTGGCTCTTCCTCAAAGCAATGTGCATTACCCTCTCTGAGGAGTAGATGGGGCCTAGGGTGTGGGAGAAGGTAGAGGGGATGGGAGAAGAGGAAAGAGTGGAAACTGGGCTTGATATATATAATGAAAAAAGACAGCTTGTTTTCTTTTTAAAAAATAAAATTAAAAAACATACATATTTATATTATATATAATTCAAAGGAATGACAATGCTGTAGGAGTAAAAATGTTCACTGCAAAAAAAAAAGAAAGAAATGTACCTTAGCAATGTTACACCAAGGAAAAACTTTACAGTCTTCAAATATATGTTTTGTAAACGCAGTTTAATTGCTACAAGCATGATATGTTAATAAACCGAAAACAAAAAAAACACTTTACAGTTGAGGTGAGTGTCTGAACTCCCGGTTGGGCAACCCTGCTCTCTAGACCCTAACCTCAGGGTACACATCCCATGCCCTACCCCCATCTACTGCAGCCCCAGTGACCAGGCAGTAGCATTCTCCCTGCCACTGTTGTATGGGGAGGGCCTGCTTGTTTGTCCTGGCCATCCAGCTAGCTTACACCCAAAATAACCACACAGAAACTGTACTAATTAAATCATTGCCTGGCCCATTATCTCTAGCCTCTTATTGGCTAACTCTCATATCTTGATTTAACCCATTTCTATTAATCTGTATATTGCCACACAGTAGTGGCTTACCGGGAAAGATTCTAATCAGCGTGTTTCTCTGGTGGAATATCCATGGCTTCTCTCTGACTCTGCTTTCCTCCTCCCAGCATTCAGTTCTGTTTCCCCCGCTTACCTAAGTTCTGACCTAGCAAAAGACCAAGGCAGTTTCTTTATTCATTATCCAATGAAAGCAACACATAAACAGAAGGACCTCCTACACCATGCCACCACTCAACCATCCCCTGCTGCATTAGTGACCTCAGGAGTCACACTCCACACCTGCACCTGGAGGAGCAGCAATCACCTATCAGAATTACACCCTACTTCTCAAAGGACACTGCAGGAGGAGAATTGGCCCTACCCTCATGGGAGATTTGGTCTCAAACCTTGGAAAAAAAGACCCCACCCCACATCATGGTCATGGGAGAGTTGAACCCAAATGCATGGGCCTGAGAGAACTGGCTCTGTACCTCACCTGAAGAGGGTAATCCCAGTGGCCTAGACTGACCAGTTCAGTTACCACACAGACCCACATCCTAAGCCTAGAGATGGCCCACCTATCTACCCATCGGTGACCTAAGGGATTGGTCCTGTGGAACGATAGCCACAGATTCCTCATGACTCAGTGCAATAACAAAATATTTAAGAGGAGTTTCAGACAACCTAAATGCTCCCCAACTAAAGAATGGATAAGGAAAATGTGGTACATTTACACAACGGAATACTATACAGCAGAGAAAAAACAACATCTTGAAATTTGCATGCAAATGGGTGGAGCCAGAAAACATCATATTGAATGAGGTAACCCAAACACAGAAAGACAATTATCATATGTTTTCACTCATTAGTGATTTTTATACATAAAGCAAAGAAAACCAGCCTACAAATCACAATCCCAGAGAACCTAGACAACAATGAGGACCCTAAGAGAGACATACATGGATCTAATAAGCATGGGAAGTGGAAAAAGACAAAATCTCCTGAGTAAATTGGGAGCATGGGGATCATGGGAAAGGGTTGAAGGGGAGGGGAGAGGCAGGGAGAGAAGCAGAGAAAAATGTAGACCTCAAAAAAATCAATTAAAAAAGAAAAAAGAGGAATTTCAGTGAGTGATTAATTTTGTTTTCTTTTTAATTTGAGGGAGCTTTCTTTTGAGGGGATACTGCAGCATTGAACAGTAGTGTGGAGACACTGGTAGGTGAGTGGGATTAGGGTGTATGGTGTAAAATTCCCAAAAAAGTCAATAAAGAATTTTGTTATATATTAAAAAGATTCTTCAAATTATGTTAACTCAATAATAGATTATACTATTCATGCTACTAAGTAATCAAAGTAAAGTGGACGTTCAACGGTATTTAAATGTATTTTTTCTAAAAGAACATTCTGTGTCTCCTTGATGCTTGGATTTAATTAAATATAATTTATTAAGTGCTCCTTCTCAACTAGCTACAACTCCCATACTCTTAAGGAATGTATATTTTCTGAATATTCCCTAAAGTTTTTCTGTTTTCAATAGTGTACATTGTAACATATTCTTTGAATAATGCAGCAATCAATAGAATCTTATTGACATGCTAAGGATTTTCTGGAGGAATCTCCATACATTCACTTAGCATCTAAACTTATCTTCATTCCACCAACATTGTATGAGATTCCTTTGCTCCGCATCTCATAAAAAATTTCATCTTTTGTATTTGATCCAAATATATTGATAGAAAAAATATTAAGTATCAACTATATACTCCACATTGGGTGCCACGGCTTTTTTTCTCTTCATACACTGGCATGTAGAACAATGTGGCAGTGATCTTGAGTTTGACAATTGTAGTTTTCCATAGGAATTATCCTGAGCCATTAGTATATGAAGAATGATGGAATTTGTAGAAATAGAGAAAACACTGTGAAGGGAAATTATAAATGTAAGGAATTAAATACATTTACAGTAGTTTTTTTGAAAACTTTGTGACATAGCATTACCTATTCTACTTAGTAATGAGCACTCAATTATTTGACTATATTTCTGATGAAAAATTTCTACAGTCTAAGGTCTGGGGCTTGGGAATTTATGGAACTGAAAGACAAATTGCCAAAGTGACTGATAACTCAGTGTGCACTGATTTCTCATTTGCTGAATCTTCACTGCTAATTCTAAAATAGGTAGCTAACTCTTTCATCTAACATTTCTGCCTCTCGGATTTCTGAGGTTCTTACTTTCTCATCCGATATTTTAAACACTCATTCTGAGGCAAGAAAAAAAAAATCTGATCATCTACGTGTGAGATGCTGTTGTTCTTCACTTCTTTTGGACCTTTTATTCCCTGGCTGACAATACAGACTCAGTGGACCACATTAATTAGAAGTTTTTTGCTGGGGAAAAACAACACAAGGCTCTTTGTTTTGTAGAAGTGCTGCACTCGGTCAGAATGTGAAGATACCCTCCTCTAAACCTGAAGAGATTTTCCCACTTAAAAGATTACCGTGTAAATAAAACACGTGTATGAACAGATGGCTCACAATAGAGAAAACATCTGTTCAAACTACTATGAACAACAATCTGCCTACAACAATTGATCATAAACTACTGGCCCTTAATTTAAGCTACATTTTAGTTCTTGGCACGTTGGCTTTGTGTGTTCTAGAAGAAACAAGGAAAAGAGAATCAAATAAACATGTGTGAATTTTCTCAAGCTTTTAGGGAAGATGTTTACGGGAAGCTCCAAGATGGGTATAAAATAAAGGTAGAATGCTTATAACCAAACAGTACTATGGGAGAATAGTGTATAATATTTTAATATTTTCTATACCATATTTCTTTCAATTTCTTACCCTTTTAATTTTTCATAGCAATAAATGTCTAACTTATGCTTTAAGCTTCTATGTTATATATAGTCTTGATTCGTGACACTTCTAAGCATCCTCCAAAGTAACATTCAGTTTTTCTCTTTGGGAATTACAGATCTCATATGGCTGAAGCTTCTCATTATCCCTTGGTTCTTTGTGAGTGTGATTTCTATCTGAGGACAGACTCTGTTGAAATAACTCAGGTAAGAGTTTCATTGTCTTTTCTTCCAAACAAGACTGATGCGTTCTTCAGTATCAGAGGCAGGAGGTAGAGTCATAATTTTTCTTCTTTTATCTTTAAATTTTTCATAATCAATCAGTTACTACAGTGGGCTCCAGACTGACACTGCACAAAATTTTTGTGTAAGATATTCCTGGGGCATTACCTTCAATGGCTGTTGAGAGATTCTGTGAAAGAAAGAATCATTGTCTCCTGTTGTGTACCTATTGCAAAGCCCACCAGCTTCCAACAGAGAGCTCTAGACCCACAGTTACACAGGTAGACCTGATTAAACTAACTGGTCAAAAAATTAAATAAATAGATATGAACATGAAAGGAGATTTATTGTGGTTTCTGGATGGGGTGGTAAATAGATGGAATATAGTGAGGGATGAAGGATGATAGAGGTCAGTATGCATTGGGTACATGTATAAAATTATCTAAGAACAAATTTCGTTTATGAAAAAGCACTATTTTCAGCAAGAAAAGATTTAATATTTTTCAAAGTACATTTTTCATGGATGACACTACTGCAAACCTAGAAAACCAAGATGTATCCGTAATTTAAACACACAAAATTCCAGAACAAAGGAAGGAAATTATACACAAAGGCTAAAGGTCCGGATTTCTTTTAGCATACTTCCATTTCATGACTCTAATTTCCCATGTGGAAGCCAGTGAGCACAAGTGTCTGTAGAGCTTGTTTGACTTTCCTTAGATTCTCAAGTGCATTTGCCTCTATTTTTCCTTCTTCGCTAAGCACTTCAAACTAAACATAGGATTAAAGGATCCAGTGCCCCTAAATATGTAAGCATAGGAAATGTTCTGTACCTAGTCTCTGTGAGAGATCTGTAAAATCTCCCTGTAAAACAACAGGCTATCTTCAGTGTTTTATATTTGAGTCATTGTTCCGCAACCAGAAATCCCATTTTGCTTAGAAACAATATTTTCTCCCTCTTGTGCCCTTCAGGTAGTAGTCACCTCATGGTCAGACCTGCACAACTTGATGGATGGAGGAAATCACTCCATGGTATCAGAATTTCTGTTGCTGGGTCTCACCAATTCATGGGGAATTCAGATTCTCCTTTTCCTGTTCTTCACAGTATTTTATGTGGCAAGCATGCTAGGTAACCTCCTCATTGTGCTCACAATCATCTCAGACCATCATCTGCACTCCCCCATGTACTTCCTGCTGGCAAACCTCTCCTTCATAGATACAGGTGTGTCCAGCATTGCTACCCCAAAGATGAT